GAAACAACGCCAAATGGAATGACATTGCTGGCTACCGTTTCTATTTTTCTCTAGTCAAGCACATGCGTACTTCAGTCTTCAAAGGAACCTTTTTTTGCAAAGTTTGAAAGTCACGATTGGGGATAAAAATGTCAATAGAAATTAGCACGTGCCTTTACGTAGGAAATTTACTTACATTGAAAATTTAATAGGCAAACAAAATGATCGATACCAATGTCCTATAACTTTAAATATTGATACATTTTTCATACAAAGAATTTGTCAATGGGAGTGCCATTTGAATCTGAGACAGACAACACGGTGTTTGGCGGGAAATGTTGCCAGTGAACCGTCTGCCAAAACTGAAATAATATTTGTATAAGTGTTACATCAACGCTGATCTTATACAGAATTACAACTGTAGCTGTATTTGGGTGTTAATGATACAATAAGATATTCTCGTCTCTCAGTGGTGTCTACTAAAACCGGATTTTTTTCAATATCGTTAATATTTTAATGGAAAATGTGCGCGGTTTAGTGGTGCAGTGCGTCATGACAATGTACTGGTAACAGCAAACATGTCACTGACGTCATAAATATCTGCATCAACTGTATGACGTATTGGTCTGTAGTCAGTGACAAAGCGTACGTAAAGTGCTGGCATATGGTCCGTGACGAAGCTGAGGTTTTATGTGTTTGACTGTTATATATTCTCCTGATTTTTGTGACAAGGCCTAGGTATCCTGTCTTGGTCTATTGCATGCCGACCTGTACTCTGTTACGAAGCGTATGTGTTACATGCTGGCATATTAAAGGCTGGTCTATAGTCAGTGACGAAGCGTAGGTGTTACATGCTGGCCTATTACAGGCTGGTCTATAGTCGGTAACGAAGCGTAGGTGTTACATGCTGGCCTGTTACATGCTGGTCTATAGTCGGTAACGAAGCGTAGGTGTTACATGCTGGCCTATTACAGGCTGGTCTATAGTCAGTGACGAAGCGTAGGTGTTACATGCTGGCCTGTTACATGCTGGTCTATAGTCGGTAACGAAGCGTAGGTGTTACATGCTGGCCTATTACAGGCTGGTCTATAGTCAGTGACGAAGCGTAGGTGTTACATGCTGGCCTGTTACATGCTGGTCTATAGTCGGTAACGAAGCGTAGGTGTTACATGCTGGCCTATTACAGGCTGGTCTATAGTCAGTGACGAAGCGTAGGTGTTACATGCTGGCATATTAAAGGCTGGTCTATAGTCGGTAACGAAGCGTAGGTGTTACATGCTGGCCTGTTACATGCTGGTCTATAGTCGGTAACGAAGCGTAGGTGTTACATGCTGGCCTATTACAGGCTGGTCTATAGTCAGTGACGAAGCGTAGGTGTTACATGCTGGCCTATTACAGGCTGGTCTATAGTCGGTAACGAAGCGTAGGTGTTACATGCTGGCCTGTTACATGCTGGTCTGTAGTCAGAGACGTAGTTTAGGTCTGTGGTCAATGACGAAGCGAAGATATTACGGGCTGGCCTATTACAGGCTAGTCTGTAATCTGTGACGTAGTTTAGGTCTATAGTCAATGACGAAGCGTAGGTGTTACAGACTGGCCCATAGTCTGTGACGTAACGTTAGTATTTCGTGCTGGCATATTGCAGGCTAGTCTGTAATCTGTGACGTAGTTTGGGTCTATAGTCATTGACGAAGCGTATGTGTTACAGGCTGGCCCATAGTCTGTGACGTAACGTTAGTATTTCGTGCTGGCATATTGCAGGCTAGTCTGTAATCTGTGACGTAGTTTAGGTCTATAGTCATTGACGAAGCGTAGGTGTTACAGGCTGGCCTGTAGTCTGTGACGTAGATAAGGTATTACGTGCTGCCCTGTAGTCAGTTACGAAGCGAAGGTGTTACATGCTGGCCTATTACAGGCTGGCCCATAGTCTGTGACGTAACGTTAGTATTTCGTGCTGACCTATTGCAGACTGGTCTGTAGTCTGTGACGTAGATTAAGTATCACGTGTTGATCAATAAGGGGAAGCTATATGGTATTCGGGTAAGATGTCATAGACCCAAGTATCCCAAGTATTTTATTGCACAAGACAGTTTAACAAATTGTAGAGGATCTTATGTGAGTTTTAATTTCTGGATGGACTGAAATAATTGGCCAGATTTGTTTCTTTCTGCTAGTATTTATGGTGGCGTGTTTCCTAAAGATAAACCACGTGTATTGAAATTGAAATTGTTTTGGTTCTGTTTACCACACAACCAAGATTTAACATTTTTTGAAAACGGCATTGTATATTATATTGGTTCCATCAAGGAATACGATACTGCCCCGTGAAGTTGTAACATCACATTTGAAACGTGTGTTCGGGATAACAGGATTGATTAAATGGCTGATATTACATTGATTACGATGTAGCTCTGAGATATTTTGCAATTGTATTTACGACTAGACTCACTTGAAGTGAAGTTATGTTTTCAGTTATAGCCGTCTAATATTGCCAAAATTGTCCATTTTGTAAATTTTGCAAAACAAGTCCCAGCTATAGCATTGACGAAAGCATTCTTAACGATTCTGACAACATTTTTCATTCGGTTGGGAACGGTATATGACGGTTTGTGTCGGCGTTTATCGGCATATCTCGGAAATAAACGAAGCAGCAATGGTATGACTGAGGACAATTCACCGTACGAACCCTTAAAAACATTGATATATATATATATTTTTTTTTACATAATTTGACATCGAGAAACAATTGGTTCCTTTTTCATTAACGGACATTTCCAGTTTAACTTTGTAGTTTATCTGGATCCCGGTAAATGAAAGAATCCAGTCATGTAGTATTCCATGTATTTCAGCGAAAGAAAAAAATATGCTGCGTTCGATTTATTTCCATGATCCTTTTAACTTAGCAATGATTATTTAAAATTCAATTACACTAAGCCACGTTATTGTCTGTTATTTTGTTTAATTCATTAAATAACTTATTTAACGTTTTATTTCGAAGTAGAATACATTGATCAGTTTGTCCTGTGTAGGGCTGTCATTAATTGTATGAATGCCACCCTCTTCCTAGAACTGTCAGTCTGTAATCGTGAATTACTGTTACCGAGATTTTACAGAATTCTAAATGAAACGTAACCACGTTATTTTATCGAATTTACTTGTCATGTCAGATTATTAATTGTCGGATATGGTCTGCAAACCACGCTGATTGTTCTGACGGCCGTATACATGTGGAAACACGATGTATTCCCCAAGGCTATCGCATCAAATGAACATATTACTCAAAAAAACGTTTGAATGGAAAACTTACAGCGTGTAATTTGGCGGTTTTATCACGATTGGCGGTTTGTACGGTAATTGAAATATAGCGCATCTGTCGAAATAAAAAATAAGGATTTACATTTCAACTGAATATAATTCAATGTAACATACTTTCAATTCCGTTGCAGGTTCCGTCGTAGTATTGTCAGAAGAAAATGTGTTCGCACTGTTATGAACACCAATGGTGCTGTGTCAATTTTAACGCTTCTTCTGTCGTATTTGTGATGTGAAAAGCAACCACTTTGACGAAGTGATGCCGTTTCTGTTGTAATTATGAAGAATGCCTGACAGTTTGATTTACTAATAACTGTGACTTTAAAACATAAAGCAGTAAACGAATTGGATACCTTTTGCATTCATGATGGTATGAATGCGATCGGTTATATTTATATACGAAACCTTGTGTCTAAATATTTATATAGGTATTTATACCGGCCCCATCACATACACGTCAAACCTCGATATCTCGAACGCATATAACTCGAAGACCCCTTTAATTCGAAGTATTCCGTTGGTCCCACCTACTTCCACATTCGAAATAACTTAAATTGAATACTCGGATAACTCGGGGTTTTTCCACGGTCCAGCCGACTTCGAGATATTTAGTGTTTAATGACGTCCATTATTTTTTCAGGTAATAAAGTAATCCAGTAAATTGTTGATAACTGCTTTTTTCTTCATTTCATGGCAAAATATAAGTTAACTGACACATCTAAAGCAATTAAACAGGCTAGAAATCCGATGTTTATAAGACATGTATGACCTGCTGTCAGCGGATGGTCTATACATGTAACGTTACAAGTAATTGGTCTCGAAATCAGGTCTTTCAATTCAAGAAAACACAGTCAAGTGGTTTCTTTTATCGATATAAACTGGGTTTTCAAGATGGTCACGTGACAAAACAACCCAATACTGACTTGACATTGTAAAGGATATCTTAAACAAGACTTGGACTTGATAAAATACCAAACGTAGACCACCTAATCGTACTAATTAGTATGTTATCTGGAATAAGTCCGCCACGCCCACATCACTGAGACTGGTCTTATTGGATGTAGCTAATGCTAAGGCCTTTCGTTTTTCTTTAGTATTTTTTCATTGCAAATATTTGTAGCGTTAGCAAAACATGTTTCTTTAGAATAGCGGAATTCTTGAGAACAGCAGGTTTTTTTTTAGAACAGCGGAGTTCTAAACTGACGTCAGGGACTTATAATTTTATAACAAAATATTCTTGATTTCGTACAATGGTGTGTTTTTATTTAAATAGGGTCGACTCTTGTTTTCTTTATGGAGCTGCTGGGATATCTCCAATTATGAACTCTGGCGTCATGTTTTAGAAGGGTTTATACAAAGGTTACCAAATGTAGTGTTGGTTATGAAGAATACTGAAAATATTTGTAAAATGAAGCATAACGTTGGTGTCCTGTAAAATGGAAACTAAAAAAATACAAAACAAACAACGCAGGTTTTAGTATGCTTATATTTTATGCACTATTGGGCTGAAATCTTCATCCACCATGCGTTTGACCTTATCAACACGTTGATTCATGCCGGAAGTAGACATTGTTACAAAACAAGATGGCTGAACTAATAACGGATTTAGTTATTTCAAACGAAAAGGACTTCTTATGTAAAATATTTGTAAATGGAAATATTCGAAATGCCATTTATAGATTTCAAATATTTATATATTTACTTGACAGGGTGAAAGCACTGCCTCTAAGCAACCGTTGGACGACCCGCCTTATTACCGCGAACCACATCGAGGCAGATTTCAAGATACGTCACGAAATATCAGACATCATTCAGAAATGGAAATCATGGGCAATGGCACGCACGTATGTATACATAGTATATAAAATACTTATATTCCGGGTACATAGTTATGGTACCATACACTTATTGATATTATTATTGTTTTTGTCATATTTATCTCCCTTGGTATGATTTAAATACATTTATTATGATTTTGCGTATGGTTCAACGCAGAAGGAACGTCGGTATCTGTTGGTGAGAATCCACCAAGCGGTTGTTGATGGAGTCGACGAGAAACCTGTAACTAACCAACCAAATAGTGTTAATACATAACATTTAAAAACGTGTAATCAATAATGATTTTCTCCGGAATTAATTTAATACGAGATAATTACGTAATCAAGTACATGTATATAAGGATTGTATTATCGGTATTTCAATTACGTTAAAATTACGTCATCTGAACATATTTTTATGAAAATTGTAATGAATAATGCGGTCACGAATAATGGCATATAAAAAGGTGACACAGGATTTTGTATGAACTTTTAACCTCGCAAAAAACTTTACATCATCGTTCGAGCTGAAAAATAGATTTTTCCGCAGTTAATCTGAAAAATATACATAAAAGAAAAAAATGTATAATCCGCCATTAAAACCTGTTAGAGTTAATGACTTTTAGTCCACTGTCATAAATTCTAACTAGAACACAATCTTGTTTAAATCCTGTTATACTTCCATAATAACTCATCGTTATCTAGTTTGTTTTGTGCTATTAATTTTCAGTGATAGTTGTCCAGCGTTTCCTGTCTAAGTGTGTGCAGCATGTAAATTCATTTAACGTGGAAAAGACGGTGTTTCACTCGGCTGATTACAGCTACATTGTGTGTTCATTACAGCCATTATTTCCCCGCTAATTCCTCGGGCTTTCTGAAATATGACTCCATATGTTGATAACATCCATTACATGTACAGTATGTTTATATATACCAGTATGTAATATCTTATCTGTGTATCAACACTTTGTTAATTACGAGCAGGTTCCTGAAATACTAGAACCCTACCATAAACTTAGTACGTAGCCTTAATTTGATCTTGTAAGCATAAATCACGTGATAGATATACTGCATAAAACATCATTTAGTTGTCTCTTATTTTGGGATTGTTGCATAATATTCAATGTGTTTTGTTTCATCTTCCCTTCTGATGCTAAGCATGTCCTTTCTAGTTTTAAATTTATAAAATAGTTCGCATACCTCGGAATGCAGCAAGACTTCGTGAAATGTGTTTGTTCAGTCTCCTTGAGTACAGCGTTATTTAGTCCCGCGTAAAATATACACATTACACAATATAAATGTCACCGAGCTTACTTTATTTTTATCTTACTTGAAAAACAATAAGTAGTTATATAACTTCGTGTGTTACACAGGCGGCAATTAAGTTAAATAATTGGAAACAAACAGCCTGTTTAAAAGTATCAGAAATTCATATAGTTTCTAAATTTTCCAGATATATCTTGATATATTTAAGCAAAACATAATGGAGAGTTTTCGTGCCCGAGAGATATCTTATTTTCAAAAAGTGGTTCTTGATTTTCATATTTATAGAGGTATCGTGATGTTTTTAGTATCGAAGGTCAAGGTTACAAGATGCAATGGAACTTTGAATCTGGTGACTTACATAATTATGTAGACAGGGTCTTGGTTGAAACAAGAAGAAGAGAAGCCTAAAGTGACCGAAATAAAGTCGTAATTTTGTCACCAAACAATGTCGATATATTTCAAATGTTCTGTATTGAAGTACAGCACAACCGATGTAGGATTTTGAAGGTCACGAACATATAGATCACTTTAAAAGTACTTATTTGTTCCAAAGCGGCGCGCATCCCTTATTTTCATCGTTATGTAACACATTATGTAGTCGAGAGCATCTTTTAACTTTGGAGACAACATAGTCTATTCATCGTCAATGTATATTTCCGGTAATTCCTGTCTCCGTTCTCATCGTCTCCATATAAGTTTCCCATCATGCATTGCTGCCATATGGCTGTATGATTAGTCACGTGAAATCTGTTTCACCACGGATATTACAATCGTGTATCTCAATCCAATTATTTTTACACTTAACATTCTTCCTCGCACTTTCACAATTATTTTTCTATCCGGATCTAGTATTATACATCCTTGTGATCAAGTCAACTGGTCACTCAAGCTTATATCGGTTCCAAGGCATAGGACACGTGTCCATCAACTTTTCCAATAAAACCTTTCTCAGTGCAATATCAAAAGGTTACAGCGAGTTATACCGTCTTTTTTCCCCGGAAACTTTCTTCCGGCTACATATAGCAATTTTCCCGATGACACTATACAGGCAGTTTTAAAGGATGAAAACCCTTACCTTCTAATTTTCTGTGTCAGTTTAGTATATTACATATTTGTGTAAAAATGCAAAAAAAAAAAAAAAAAAACCAAACAAACAAACAAAAAAACAAAAAAAAGACAAGGCGCTCGAACTGTTTTTTTTTATATACATATATTTTTCATTTCATCGTCAGAAGGGGACATAACTCAGTTAATTAAAGGAAGGGTAGTGATCGGGAAAGAACCCATTTTGTAGTTTGTAAATTGCGTTGTTCGAACCGAAAAGGACCACCTCTCTTCAAACGAATTGCTTTCTGTTCAAATACTATTTTACACTAGATTTCTCCACCCCTGTTTGTGAAAGCCTTATTCGCAAATGGTTGTGTTTGTTCTACCTTTGTGAGCCACTGACGTGAACATTCCCGACTTCTGACCGCTAACATTTCGCCTTGTTACCTACGAGATGGTCAAGTATAGGTACTACCTGCGGGACATATTCAGGTTACGTATTCACACCTGGTCTTACCTTTAGCCCAGGTAAGCACCTCGGGGCAATTTGACGTAATAGTTGTCTGTATGATTTGAGACCGATAACAGTCGACTATTCATTACCGTGGTTAGGGCTTTATCAGGAGAGAACGTCGCCGTATTAAAAAGAGAAATCTATTGAGACTGCTTTTGCTATCGATCTTTTCCAATAGCTTTGCTTGTACCCATCTCCACTACATCCAATCAAGCCGTACTAAGAACGACTGTTCTTCAGCCGATGCAGCCATTGGAAACGAGCGGTGGTGTTTACCGGTACAGCAAAAGAGGACATCAACTTTACGCTTGATCAAAACGAGGAACAAGTGGCATTAGGACTAAATTAAATTCTCAGGCCATCATCGCCGTGGACAGCGATCGAAACGGAGAGCTTTTGAGTGGCTAATAAAATTTTAATGACCATATAAGGAAACTTGTGACAAGTGGAAAACTTTGTATTGTTATTAAATATCACCAGTCATGTTTGTGAAGTGGATTACTTATATAGAACATACGTGAGTTTGTATGCATTTCTACGGAATAACTAAAGCGTGAGTCGGCCGGCGTTGCTGAAAGGAGCACTAGAGTTCATGAAAGGAGTGCATTGTTGTATGACGTTCTCCTAGTCAATTCATTCATGATGACTTGACACGTTGGGTAGTTGTGCCCTGTTCACCTCTCGTCAGACCACATGATTGGCTCTGTTGTTTGGAAAATAGTTGTGATTTGTTCTCTCTGATTTTTATAAACATATGACCATGTTCACTAAATCTGGATTATACAAACTTCCTGGGCTGGCGGATGAGTCGAAAAAAGAGGTATCTGTACTTTTTTACTGTACAAAGTCGTTTATTATCATTGTTTTTATTTTTAGATTAAAAAATATCTGTATAATTGTATGGATGTAGCTATTGATCTCATATAAACAAACTATGTACAAGGACATACTGATAGTTGATGTTATCAATATTTTTTTCTGTCTCCGACACCTCCTTAGGGCCAACCAGATGTTACAGATGTTTTCCATGTTTGTTGCGGAATTAATGGAAGATTATTACGCAATATTTCCATACGTTCACACTGATGATAACACAAAATTATTTATATAGTTAATTAATTAGTATGTTGATATACCCGTTTTTTGCGTGTTTATTTTAAGCCAGTGGACCTAAGTCTGTAGTGCGTACATATGGTTCTGAATTAAAAACAAAATTATTTTCTTTTTTTTTCCTTTTTGAAGAATAAAGGAAAGCGGTTAATGATACACTGTATTTTGAGTACTTAACCTTTGATTTATAACTTTCAAAATCTTGGAATTATCTTCACTAATAAAGACCTTCATGTTCTAAATTCCTGTAACAAAACCGGCTAAATTCGATTTTGATAATTGATTTTCCGTAAGCCCGATGCCGATTGGTTAATTTCGATAGTATCACACAGAGATAAATCCACAGTTTTGATTGGATTGAAATCCTATGATTATCGATATTTTTTATCGCAGACGCAACCTTATTCATGAAAAAAAAATCAACAACTAATATGGTATGGTTTTCTGTTTAATTTTACACATTAGTTTCATTAGTAATTAATAAATACCTTCATGAAAAGAAATCAGATGTAAGAGATTCCGGATACTTTGTTTATGTTTTTCGTCCTTATTGTAAATTCTTTATATATTCACTCTTCCAAAGTTATCTTACGTTGCGGACATTTGTTAATTTAGCACAAATTCTGATATGTAAATAAATCAAAGAAAACAAGGAAATTCTTCAATATCGTAAGGAATGATAAAGAATAATATCAAAGTTTTTTTCCGGGTAGGAGTTATCTGCTCTTGTCTTTGCATGCTCAAATTCTATAGAAACTTCGTATGAGATAGATAAGTTACGTAAGGACAGCCAAAAATAATTTGAGACAAAAACAATCGAACTAAATGTAATGGACACCGTTACAATGACGTTTAAAAATCAGTAACCCAGTAAAGCATGTGTTTCTTTCGACCCACCTGTCAAATAGATAACCGCTCACGTCACGGAGTCTTCTCTTACTGTATCGCCCGTCCACCGTTTCTGCCTGATTTGTAAGGATTCCTTCAACTTCTTTCAGATCAATAAAAAATGTTTTTTTTATTGTCGCTTCTACAATTTGAGGGGGCAGTTACCTCTTCTTTAAGTTATGTGGGGTATTTCTACTTCTGT